ACAATCATTCCTTCGTTACCAGTCTTCATGACGCAATAAACTCATTAATAATACGCTTTCCTTCCGTTCCGATCATTCTTTTAGGTGACTTCAACTACCCAAATATAGTCTGGACTGGCTTGCATGCTTACAGTCACCCATTTTCATCAGACGCGACTGACTTCATAAACATGTGTAGCGATTTCAGCTTCAGTCAATTGATGACTCTTCCTACTAGAATTACCCATACAACAGCCAACATATTGGATCTAATTTTAACAACGTCATCTTCTTTAATATCTTCAATTAGCACCATGCAGGGCATAAGTGATCATTCATTAATACATTTTGTCATCGATGTTCCTGTTAGAAATGCTCCAAAGATTCAGAAAAAAATACGCGACTATGCTAAAGGTAACTTCGAGGCCATTAACAGTGAACTTTCTTTTTTTCTTGATGATTACTTTCCGCTCTTTTCGGAACGCTCAATTCAGGAAAATTGGGATTTATTTAAAACGCAGGTTGTGCATCTTACTAATACATATATACCTTTGCGCAATATTTCCGTTAACCCGCAATCACCATGGTTTAACACCACATTAAAAAGGCTTTCTAACAAGAAAAAACAAAAATTTCGAGCAGCTAAATTTTCAAATGTTGATTCTAAATGGTCTGCATACCATATTGCAGCCAATAATTATAAAAGTGCTATTGAAAATGCGAAGGCTACTTATTTTAATGTAACTCTACCATCACTTTTAACAAGCAACCCAAAGCAGTTTTGGAATGTAATTAATCGAAATGAAAAATCGTCAATATCATTGTTTAGTTCCTCTGGAAATGCTGTGCCTTTTAGTGAGTGTGCCCTTGTTTTGAACTCCGCCTTTGTGGCTTCATTTTCAGACGTTAACGTGTCATCTTTACCTCCATTTCAACATACTGGATTTGTTCCTATGTACCCGGTCGCTATTGATGCTTGTGGAATTGTTAATGTAATCGATAATTTAAAAATATCGTGTTCCGCGGGAGTAGATGATATTAATTCAAAATTCCTAAAAAGTACCAAAGAATATTCTTCAATAATACTTTCTAAACTATTTAATCAGTCTCTTAATTGTGGGTATTTGCCGGACGACTGGAAGGTGGGAAAGGTGGTGCCGATACACAAAACGGGTGATCAACATTCTCCTTCTAATTACCGTCCCATATCGCTAACAAGCATCCCCTGCAAAATTCTTGAGCACGTCATTTTTTCACATTTACTAAACTTTTTGGAGTCTAATAACTTCTTTTCTCCCGCCCAACACGGTTTTCGTAAGTCATTTTCGTGTGAAACCCAGCTACTAACCTTCACTAACGACCTTCACCTTATTCTTGATCGAAGTTCCCAAGCTGACTGCATATTCCTCGATTTCGCTAAAGCATTTGATAAGGTATCACATAGTCTACTACTTCATAAGCTAAGCAAACTCAGCATTGATTCCGCTACACTATCTTGGATTCACGCCTTCCTAACTAACCGGTCTCAGTTTGTATTTGCGAATGACACGTCTTCTCCTTCAGCTTCTGTGACGTCCGGAGTGCCGCAGGGGTCTGTACTGGGTCCTCTTCTTTTCCTTATATATGTCAATGACTTACCCTCCTGTGTTTCATCTTCGATTAGCTTGTTTGCTGACGACTGTGTTATATATCGTGAAGTGACTAACAAATCCGATGTTTCTTCTCTTCAGTGTGACCTTGACCGTGTATCTGAATGGTGTGACTTATGGCATATGCAGCTTAACACTAACAAATGTAAGGTAATAAGGGTTTCTCGGCTTCAGAGTGATGTCTCTTGTTATTACCTAAACCACACTCCTTTACAACAAGTAACAACCTACAAATATTTGGGGGTTCATATTTCATCCAATCTGTCCTGGGAAACTCATATTCAATACGTAACAAGTAACGCCAATCGTATGCTGGGTTTCATAAAACGAAATTTTTCAGCAGCTCCCTTATCACTTAAACTACTTCTTTACAAAACACTTGTTCGCACCAAACTAGAATATGCCTCTTCAATTTGGGACCCCGGTACTGACGTATTAACATCTGCAGTTGAAGCAATTCAAAATAGATCCGCCCGATTCATACTTACTAATTATCACCGCACTGCCAGCGTAACATCCATGAAATCAAGTTTGAACCTGCCTAATCTTGCATCGCGTAGAGAAGTTTTTCGTTTGTGCCTGTTTCACAAAATCTACTACCACAATCATACTTTGCGTGACAAGTTATTAGCACCTCCCTTTTACATATCACAGCGTCTTGATCACCGACACAAGATGGGCGTACCTTCATGTAACACTACTACTTTTCACAATTCATTCATACCCCGAACTACAGTGTTGTGGAACCACCTTCCAGCGTCTGTGGTATCAATATCTGACAGCGTTGCTTTCAAAAATTGCCTTAACAATGTTCACATTTCAGCGTTTCACTAATATGTACATATTGTTTTACATTCATAGGTTGTTATTCATTGTATGTTGTTGAATTCTATTGATGTAACCCGCTCCCCTCTGTAATGCCTTCGGGCCTTGAGGGAACTTTTAAATAAATAAATAAATCTCTCTCATCCACTGGACCCCTACCCTCCCAATTTTGGCCTGTATTAATGCTGATGCCTCCCGCTTTCTTTCCTTAGATTCATCACATTTTGGTGCTACTTCGGCTAGTGTGGCCCCCTTTTTCTTTGCCCACCTGTTTTTTTTTATGCTGCTTGGCGTCTCGAAATTGCTGTCTTAACCTCTTTATCCCACCAGCATTTTAGCTTGCGTTTGTTTTCTTCCTCCTTGCTTTTGAAAATACAAAGTTTTCATGTGTCTATTCTCTTTCCGGTTGCTTGGTACTATTTTCTCGATTCGCTTAGATACCTACTGTAATTGTTTATCATTTAAGTTATTCCTACCCTCTTGTTTTTGATTTTGCATTTCTGGTTTTACTGTGCCAAATCTGATCTTGATTCTCTTATGGTCGCTCCTCACACTTTTTGTGCCTTCCTCACCTATCTCCACGCCTCCTAATATGTTGCATATCTTACGCGACAATAAACAGCAGTGAATAGTCGAGTGAGGGTTCTTTCTTTCCCATGTTATTTTTTCATCACATTTAACCTGAGCGTTAACCAATACCAGATCAAGAGCTTCGCATAACTCCTCTAATATCCTCCCTGTTGTATCCGCATGTCCATCAGTCTTCCCAATGCCGCATTCATGTCCCCCAAGATAATTATTTCCTTGTTAGTGCCGATTTCCCTAACGTCTCCTGATATACATGTTAAGTGTTCTGTTTTCATTTCTGCATCATTTCCTCTTTTTAGATAGACGAAACCCAGGATTGTGTCTAAGCGCCCAATATTGCCTTTCATCCATATGTGTTCCCTGCAGCCCTCTCGCTCCCTTTCCTATTCCTGACCCTTCACTAACACCCCTAATCCCCCTCCCTTGCGTTCCCCATTGGCCCGGTTACATCCCATCTAATGATATTCTGGTATGTGTGGTGGTTCTTCCATATTCCTCAGATGTGTTTCTGCTAATCCATACACTGCAAAGTTTTCGCTTTCTAAATGCTCCTCGATCTCCTCCCCACTCGATTCCTACAGTTGCCAGACGAAAACGAAAACTCTACCAAAAGCCAATTCGTTCCCAGCTTTGTTCGCTTTGTCGCAATTTTTCCCTTTGGGTGCAACAAGGCGCATGCAAGGGGAATTTATCAAAATGGTGCAACTGGACCAACGCTTTGGCAACTAAAAATAAAATAAAAAATAAATCAAAAAAGTTATTAAACTTTTAGAAGTTTAAAATTTTTAAAGATCTTTACATGTTTTATTCTTAAAATTTATTTTTTTAAAGATTTAAAAATATTATAATTGTATTTTAAATTTATTTTTAATCTTATTTGTAGCCTGTAACTTATGTATTTATTTATTAATGTTTATTGGCCATTTGGTTTCTGGTGTTTAAAATGTCCTCCTTAATGACGAAGGAGAAGATTAACGAAGAAAGCGTAAAACCACAGGCGAGCTGGTGAACTTCCATCGTAACCGGAGACACGACGTTTTGTCCGTTTTTTTTTTTATTTTCCCGTGTCTCCAATTACGATTGGAGATGACGACGATTTGAGGAAGAATAAATATATCACTGATTCGAAACAATAAGAACTATGATCATGTTAGAAAAATAACTAATATTTAAGTAAAAAATAGGAAGTGACATTGAAATGCGTCGTAGAATGGAGTTGCAAATATGTCTTTTCAAACGCACTGCTTAATATGACAAAACTGTATATGTCAACGAAATTTTATTGAACATTTAAAAACATGAAGCGCCTTAATATTAGTAATAAGAAAATATAAAACACTACGTTGACGTTTGGATTTTTAGCTTTTCTTCTGAAGTTTACAATGTCGTTTCTTCTGTATAAACTATATACTTAAATTAACAATTTTATCATTTTTAGGTAGGTTTAGATACAAGCTTTGGTTTCACATGTTTCTTATGCCTTAAGTGATTGTACATCGAAAGCCAGCTTGATTCAAACTTGGCCTATTTTCAGAAATGCAAGAGTTGAGAATTTTCATTGTATAAAATAAATCAAATAACACACTTTTAGAGAACTGTGACCCTTCTATACATAGTTTTAAAGCACACACAAAAAAAAATTATAATTGTAAAAAAAAATAATCAAAAATTTTCGAGACTCCAAAATGTGTCCCTCGTGAAACTGCAAAAATCGCAAGACCTCCGCTCTGCCATTTTGAAGCGCAAAACTCAAGAACAATAAATTTTCCGTACTTCTGTTTTCCTCTTTTGCTCTAGTCACATTTTCCACCAACATACATTTTGTTTCAGAATTTTATGAGGACAAATTTTTTTTATTGCACAATTTGAGATGAAATTTCCGAAGTAATAAATCCCGAAGTCATACACAATTAACCAGTTTTAATAGGAACAGCGTATATATATATATATATATATATATATATATATATAATAAAAAATCAAGCTGTTAAAAATGCGGCACTAGAGAAACGTCAGCTACGGCCGTGGTTAGTATGGGCCTCGGCGAAATCGAAAGTCAATGCACGCACGTGCGTTGACGCAACTACGCTTGGTGGCTTGTGAGGTCCTCGCGATACACAACGGTAGCTATGCCGGCGACGTCCCTGGGAGGCCGTTGTCGTCTGTCAGTCAACTGGTTCTTTGTCCTTCAGCGAGTGAAGGTCGCCGCGCTTCTCGCGCTTCGTGATATATCGCAGCAGGTCAATGTTGGTCACGATTCCGATGACCACCTCTTTCCTTATAGACGCCGTTCCTGCCACTGTTATAGAAAAGAAAGAAAGCCCATTTATAGACGAAATTATAATCATAATTAAAACCCATTTATACACCGGATTGCTGTACACTCTCCCAAGATATGACGTTGGTGACTTCAGCCAAGCTGTTTTTCAATCTGCTCTCAGATTTCGACGAACATGTGGGCGTAGTTACTAAGAACATGGAAGCTAAATACAGAGGAGGTACAAGCCTGTACATGCCTGTCCCTGTCCCTCATTTATGTTTAGCTTTTATGTTTATAGTAGCTGCTCTCAGTGCTTTGCGTTTTTGCTACCAGGGTCCGTGAAATTATGACAGACTTTTGCATTTTAACTTTTAACTTTTGCGATATATGTTGTGGAGCCTAGTCTGTTGCACACGCTTCAGTAATAAAAATAATAAAAGCCTGCAGATATCGTTCCAGATTCCTCCTAAATAAGTTCATTCCGGCGGGCAGAAAGGATATGTATTGCTTGCAATACACACGTAAAATTACACCTGAACCTTTAGACGAGGTATCGAACTTGAAACACAAGTATTTGTCGGTAGTAACAATAAAATTATGTTAGGAAATTCATTTTCGTAGTAATTAGACTCCAAAAATATATCGTTTTCCAACGTTACGGCAATGAAAGCAATTCCTACCTTGCATCTGTTCAGCGACAACAAGAGCGAAGTGTCCGTGCTCCAGGATTGTTGACAGCTTTCCCAAAGTCGTATCCAGCGTCACCTGGTTTGTGTCAAAATAGTGATAGTTTTAGTGAATGAAGAAATTCAGCTCCAAGCATGGCCCTCCTCCCTGAATGATATAGATGACAGGCTAATTCGAGCGAAACGGTAGTTGCTAAGAAAACAAGTGAACAGACGAACAGGAATGGGGGTCCTTTTCTTTTAGCGTCGGTCTCGGGTAGAATTCAAACCAAGGTAGACTTGACATATGTATGAATTTTACAAATGCTGAAAGTTTGATAGGTTAGCCTAGCGAGAGTCTTTTGTAAGAGCATAGTAATATCGATGTATCGTTGAAAGTTTCTTCAGTTTCAAGTAAACCATGTCAAGGTATTAATCTCAAGATGCGTAATGATTGCAGTTACTGACAGCAATGCAACCTTATCGCTCCGCAGTCAATGAGATTACGGTATTAGCTAATTCACGAATCCTGCATGCGTTTTGCTTTTAAATGTAAGGTCGGTTTGCTAGGCTGCCGATTTCCAGGAAATATTACACCGCGTGAGATAATTAAGCTACGCTGACGCAGGGATGTTCACTTTGTACTGTCAGTAGTAATACCGAACTTTTATGAGCCACAACTTGCGTGTACAGTCCTTGTCAAAAGTTCAGAGCCCACCGCGCGCTTGGCCGGAGTGGGATCGGTCTCGTGCGGCGTGCTGACTGCGAGCGTTTTGAGAACTGGGAGAACTTCGCTCTTGATCGCAACGAGAGAGGTCGCTACACGAGAACTCTCGAAACTGATCCCATTCCGGCCACGTGCGCGGTGGGCTCTCCTGGCAAAGGCTGCGATATCACGGACAATGAGCTGAAACAGTCATTCGTGCTTCTCTGGCGTACCTGCCAGTTTCTGAGAGAGCTCTGGTCCGATCTAGGAATGGAATGCGAAGTTGAGGTCCCATACTTCGGGCTTCTTAACAAATTGAGGGGTAATAGGGAGTTTTAGAATAGGGGGCCCCACCGCTTTGGGTCCCCCGAGCAGCTTGGGGCTTCGCAGTGCGCATGCGCATATATTCTGCGGTTACGCAGTACGACACCCCAAGCTGCTTGGGGGACCCAAGGCGTGGGGCCCTCCATATTTTAAAATTCTAATAAAAGCTTGTCGGGGCCGTCATATTTTAAATGTTACCGATCGTTTCTTTGAACTGACAACTCGTTTGAGTGAACCCCTAAATTCTTGAGAGTTCGTTTGATTGCGCATGCATGAAAAACGCATCGAACAACTTTAAGACTATTTCGATCCCGTGATTACGCGGCCATTTATATCCGCCCTAACAAATCATCCTTCGTAGAAAAACAAAAACTAAACAAAAACTGGATGGGACCGCCCACCTTTTTGAACTGGTCATAGGCTGCCTTGGAGACCGGCGTGCCAGCATCGATCAGACGAGCCAAAATCTTGGACATCAGATTGCCCAAGGACACCATTCCCAAGACCATGCTGCAAATAAAGGCAACCAAGGCTAATATCACAAAGCAGGATAAACAATACAATCCCGAGTGGTTTTTACTAAGTTAGCCTTGTGTGAGATCAGTGCGCGGTGAACCCACACACATTTTAAAAGCGAGTACATGGGGAACTAAGCTCTCCACAAATTGGCTGCCACAGTTACTGACGTTAAACCAGGAAAGGGCCAGATAGGCAGCCAAACTGCACAATTAAAAAAGTGAAAGCCGCTTACAATTCCCTGTAACGCCGAATAGAGCGCAGCTCTTGAGGAGGAGGAGGGAAGGGCACTGGGGGGGGGGGGGTTAGACTAACCAGGGGGGGGGGTCACGTGACCTTGGGGGTCACGTGACCCCCAATGCCGATGATGTCATCACTGACGTCACTGATGATGTCATCAGTGACGATGACGATGCGGGTACCGATGACGTCATCAGTGACGTCACTGATGACTTCACCAGTGATGATGACGATGACGATGCGAATGTCGGTGACGTCATCAGTGACGTCGCTGACGACGTCATCAGTGATGATGACGATGACGATGCGGATGCCGGTGACGACATCAGTGACGTCACTGATGACGTCATCAGTGATGATGACGATGACGATGCGGATGTCGGTAACGTCACCGGCATCCACATCGTCATCGTCACTGATGACGTCACCGGCATCCACATCGTCATCGTCATCATCACTGATGACGTCACCGGCATCCACATCGTCATTGTCATCATCACTGATGACGTCATCATCACTGATGACGTCACCGGCATCCACATCATCATCGTCATCATCACTGATGACGTCACCGGCATCCACATCGTCATCGTCATCATCACTGATGACGTCACCGGCATCCGCATCGTCATCGTCATCATGATGACGATGACGATGTGGATGCCGGTGACGTCATCAGTGTCGATGGCGTCATCGGGGGGTCACGCGACATCGGCGGGGGTCGCGTGACCTCGAGGAGGGGGTCACGTGACCTCAGGGGAGTCACGTGACCTCGGGGGGTCACGTGCCCCCCCCACGAAGTCACGTGACCCCGGTGGGGGGCTCACGCGGTGCATTATGGGACATTTCCCATGATGCACCGCGTGGTTACGCCGACGCCGACGGCGACGCCGACGCCGCTCAAGCCGGAAACGGGCCCCTAAGAGCTGCGCTCTAAAAAGGGAAAGCCGTTTACAACTCCCTGTAACGCAGAATTAGAGCGCAGCTCTTGAGGAGGAGGAGGAGGGAAGGGCACTGGGGGGTGGGTCAAGTGACCTCGGGTGGCGGGGGGGGGGTCACGTGACCGGGGGGGGGGGGGGGTGTCACGTGACGATGCTGATTACGTCATCAGTGACGTCACTGATGACGTCACTGGTGACGTCATCAATGATGATGACGATACGGATGCCGGTGACGTCACAAATGACGTCATCAGTGATGATGACGATGCGGATGCCAGTGGCGTCATTTGTGATGTCACTGATGACATCAGTGTCGATGACGTCAACGGGGGTCACGTGACCTCGGGGGGGGGGGGTCACGTGACCTTGGGAGGGAGGTCACGTGACCTTGGGAGGGAGGTCACGTGACCTGGGTAACCATCGTTACTCTCGTGAGGGTAACCCTAGTAACCCTCGTGAGGGTAACTCTCGTGACCCTCGTGAGGGTAACTCTCGTGAGGGTAACTCTCATAACCCTCGTGAGGGTAACTCTCATAACTCTCGTGACCCTCGTGAGGGTAACCCTTTTGAGGGTAACTAACCCTCGTAACCCTCGTGAGGGTTACGAGGGTTACTCGCGGTTACGCCGACGCCGACGGCGACGCCGCTCAAGCCGGGAACGGGCGCCTAAGAGCTGCGCTCTAAAAATTACCGTAGAGAACACGTAAGATACGTCAAGAGTTTAGTTTTGTATCTTTCAATTGCTGGAAACACAACAAGAGTTTGGAAATCCCTAGGAAATACTAGGGGTAAGGCAAGAGTGTAATATCCTCGGAACCTTATCAGCGTTCAGTGACGTACCAACTTGTTTTGAGTAAGGGGGCAAACCAAACCAGACCCGCCTCCCCCCCCCCCCCAAAGTTCGGGGGCAGTGCCCTTGGTATCCGTTGGGCGCCGCCGGCCAGTGTCGGCTGTTCCAGGGGGGGGGGGGGGGGGGGGGGGGGCAAACACATGCCTTGACCCCGCACTCTGAAAACTGGAAAAGGGGGACCAAGCACCCCCTTGCCCCCCCCCCCCCCCCCCTTTTCGGCTGGTACGCCCATGTCAGCATTTCATAAAGAAACAAATCTCACCACATTACGTGGTGCTCAAATAAATGTTTGTTTTACCAGCTCTGCGCGAAACTGATTCGATGCAGGCAAAGCCTCCTCAGCGATTTGAAATCTGACGTCTTGCAGTGACTACCACGTAATGAAATACGCTGCCCGCGGACGCGTGCAGTCGTTGTCTAAATGAGGTTGACACACAGGAGAACAAAACTGGCGGGCGGCACCGCACATCCCAGGATCAAACTCTTCCAAAGGCCGCTTACTCACCCGCTGGCATCCACCACGGGCACCTGGTCGATGCTCTCGGCGCTCATGAGCTCGATGGCCTCCTGGCATGTCACGCTTGGTAGCAGCGTGAGTGGAATGCACAGCTTGAGCGACCTCACCGTCTGGTTCCACCACCTGCGCGACCACGAGAAGACATTTTTCCCAAAGACAGCCACTCGAATATATCACACACTTTGTCCACGAGTTTTCCTGTGGCGTAAATAGCTTTTGGGAACAGTTTTTTACGTAGCTTATCCGACCAGTGTCAGTGGTCAGTGGTTTCCTGTGGCGTAAATAGCTTTTGGGAACAGTTTTCTACGTAGCTTATCCGACAAGTGTCAGTGGAAAACCGACACTTCGTACGAACGTGAGCCTAAAAGAATGGCACACGCGTAGTAAAGACACTAAATTAACTGCAATCGAATCGACCGTCCGAAGTCGATATTTCCATTGCACCCTAAATAGCTCACCAGTGTTTGCTGCTCATCTCCGAGGAGAGATCCATGAATCCTCGTTCGACCATCCAAGTGTCGGAGAGGAATTTGGTCATGTAGTTGCGAACGCCGTCGGGGAGTACAACCACGCATTTCTGGCCTGGCTTGAGGGACTTTGCTGCATGCACGGCCACCGACATGGCCGCCCCGCTGCTCCCGCCTGCAAAGGCACGAACGACCAATCACCCAGGTGTTGGCATCAGCGTGACTTCAAGGACGCTGTATTTGAGCACTTACCGCAGAGCAAGCCTTCCGCGCTGATCAGCTTTCTCGCCATGAGGAACGAGCTGCTGTCGTTGGACTTGTACCACTTGTCCACCAGCTGAAAATAGATTCGAGCTCCAAATTTTGTTGGGCGAAGCAGTCTTTTTATAGGAAACGAAATACCACAGGAAGATGCAACGCTTGTTTAAGGAATTGCTTTAAAGCAGATGCGTATATACCATAAACGCGGTGAAAACGCGCTAAAGTAATTGAGTTTAAGGTACAAAGCTTTCAATTATTCTTTATTAATCCAGGGTGTTTTGTCCTGCAACGTTAACTGACTTGTCCCTATACTCTCGTCCTTAGGAAACCCCAAATGACAATTTAGCTGCTTCATCCTTTTAGCTATATTGGAATTGGATTTCCAGAAATGCAGTCGTGTGTACATCTGATTGAAAAAAAGTTGTTTAAAGGGGCCCACCAACAAGTTTTGGACCGGTTTGAAGTTCGCGCTGAAACGGAGCTTCATGAAAGCAGGAACACAGAGGGAAAAAAATATTACAGAAATTCGCAATATTTTGTGAGTTATTAGCAAAATAAATATTCCAGAAAACAACTTTAAATAAGCAAAACATTGCGCTTCATGACGTAAAATGAAACAGTTTAGCGATTGGAGCAAAGCGGTTGGCCAATTGGACGCGAGTTTGGTTGATAGCCCGTCGGCCCGGTCGGCTCGTCGGCCATTAGGCCTAGCTGCAACCACCGTAGCTTTGGGATCGGGTTGCCATCATGGATGAATTTACCGGGCTTATCGGATTTTGAGTGCGGATCTGGGCATCGCGCCGTACGAGGACACTCCACGCAAGCGCCGCGACGCGTCTCGGTCTCAGTCCGCGTCGACAGCCGCGGAAGATTCGTCTCCCGCAACTCCGCCACCGGAGCCACCTCGGCGAGTAGGAGGTACAAACTGGTGAGCGGTCGGGCACGATATAAGCTGGGTCCCGTCGCCGCACTTCACTCAAACGGTGAAAAGTCTGTCACAGCACTAAAAGAAAATAAGGGTTCCCCTCGCTCCTCTACTGCTTTTAGTTGACCGGGACCGGGGGCGCACAAGTGAAAATACGATGCGCGTTCTCTGCACGGATCACTTGTCGTCTGCTCGCGATGGTACGTCGCGGGCGCCGCTGGGAGGCGCGCATGAGCGACGAGGCTCTGACGAGGCGTTGTTTTCGCCCTTTTTGAACTTTACTTTGCAACTTTAGTAGCTCTATAAAAATAAATTGTTAGAGAAATAATGACGGTTAACGTGTGATATACTTTATTTCGCTTCAAAATTCCTGGGACGGCTCTCGCCAATCACGAAAGCCAGAGAATGTGACGTATAGTGAAAGGGAGCGCCGTTATGCGCGCGCATTCGGCACCTCGCGGCGCCACCGTCGAAGGAGGTGTTTCCGAGTTGTCAAATTAAAATATGATGCGCTAATATTTTTAGACTCTTTCGTTGTCCACTGGGTTTCCGGGACCACTAGCGTGTAGAAACCGCAAAAAAAAGTCGACTCTCAAATACTGTTGGAGGGCCCCTTTAAACTAACGTCCTTGCTTACTTCTCTTTCCAGAACGGTGGGAATGAAATCGTAACCGATGCCTTCCACGTCGTACATTGTCACGCGAGGGTCATCCGGTTCGTCGGCACCAACAGCCAGAATGGAGCCTTGCGGATCCACTCCGATAATCTGAGGAGGAAATGTCAGAGGTCACCAAAAATACTTTACGAACCACACCATCCTGTGGTGTGACCAAAGCACACATCACGACGATGCAGCTTGATGAGTGACAGGTAATTGAGAGCTGGTTCACACATTTGCGTCGATTGCGTCTAGAGCAACCAAGTTGACAGACACGACAAAAATGCCGGGACAACCGTGGCTCTTGATAACTTCACAAAGCTACTTCTTGTCTTGCTTGTCACGCTGTGTCAGCTGTGCACGGCGAACTTTTCGCGGTGTTTCTGGCGTTGTTGTCTTGTCTGTCGCTCTGAACACAACTATCTGAACCCAAGAAACAAGATGACTTGAGCTGTCAAATGCGCATGCGCAAAAGGCCTACCTTGCAGTCTGGCAGCTTCTCCTTAATTTTGCGGGCCACGCCCGTGATGGTGCCCCCGGTCCCGGCACCCATGACCACCATGCTGACGTTGCCGCCACACTGTTCCAGGATCTCCTCGGCAGTGGTGTCGTAGTGGGCCAGTGGGTTGCCCGGGTTGCGGTACTGCAAACGAATTCCAGTCTTTCAAGGCCAACAACGCTCTGTCAACGTCACTGTGAATTTAAAGTGCACGAACCACTCTGGCGAATGGTGGTATTGAACATCAACGAGTGTCCACGTACTCGTTTTATACTTCGCTGCTTTGACAGCCGAAACGAGGTAGCCGCTGGCTAAAGCGTAGCTCAGCTTTGCCCGCGGAGTCAAGCCGCCTATGACACCGACTAGCAGAGGCATCGCTTGAGGCTCACCTGGTCCAGGATGACCCCTCCGGGGATCTCTTTGCAGAGCCTGAAGGCGACCGACAGGTGAGACTCTGGCGAGTCGTAGCGAGCGCTCGTGGGCGTACGCACGATCTCGGCGCCCAGCGCGCGCAGCACGTCCACCTTCTCGCGACTCATCTTCTCGGGCAGCACGATGATGCAGCGGTAACCGCGGATGGCAGCGGCCATCGCCAGGCCGATACCTGCGCCCGAGACAGACGCCGAGGAGTGTCAACTAAGGAAGCTGCTGTGCCTCGGGGCATTTTCAGGACAGAGCAAATTTAACGTTATTATTATTTCAGAGGAACATTTGTGCATGTGATGTGGTGTGGATTATATGTACGTGTTTCAATGCCCCCTGATTGGGGAGAATGAACGAAGCCAGCACTTTCCTGCGAGTCAATTTTGTCCATAAAACATGAAAGTGTTGAGTTCTTATTTTTAACATAACCTAGGGTAATGCGTAAGTTTGGTATTTTAAGGAGCAGAGCATTTTGCTAGATATACTGCAGGACAACTTATCGCGAACACGGCGTCGATGCATTTTCTCACCAAACGTAATCGCTTAAGTTGGAAACCGGAATAAAAAAAAATGCGGCGATCACTTGTTCTTGCATGCTGACTGCGTACCTCTTGAAAGCGCGGTACATGAGACAACCTGCAGCACATGGCGGAACAGGGTTGCCGATATCGCAATCCTTCCTCGGGAACAGCGTGTCTCGAGTGCGCTTCAATCGTTGTCCAAATATTTAAAAAAATGCTCTGCATTTACGTTTTTGTTTAAAAAAAGAGGCTCAGTAGCAAAGGTGTTTCTGTTGTTGCAGCTTTTCACACTCGTCAAGAAACTGAAAACAATGCATGGCGCCCCCGGAGAACAAGCATGCAGATGTGCAGCTGTAGCACACGGGTATAATGTAGCCTCATTTTTGGTCCGCAATGCTGCTGCGTGCACTGGCTTTCTTCAACTTTCTCAGTCTCTGATTTAATTCATAAGGCAGGGGTACTGTAGAGCCACTCGATATGGCAGCGTAGCTGCCAGAGTAGCGCCACGCTTTTCCCTGTGCCGCCTCTCACCGCGATTGGTCACACGCGGTACCATAGCAACGAGCTGCGCTGGCTCGGTTGCCGTAGCAACTGAGTGACGACTCGTCACGTGACCTCTCAAGAGCCGTGATGTCGTGTGTAAGATGGCAGCGCCCAGAGCTGTTGCCATAGCTGGTGGATGCGAGTTTCTTAAGTGCGCGGAGTCGCGATGTGCCGCAGCTTGCCGACGATTTAGGGCTTCTTCGTGATTTCTTACGTAGGTATAACGTGAATATCTGAAAGAATGATACTTTATACCCTTTCTGTGCAAGATCGCTCTGGATATTAGCACCTTTGCGACAGCATCAGTAATATCGCCTTAGCGGTGCTCGGGTTTCCGGATGTGTTTGAGGATCGATAAGACATTTAGCATGCAATTTTCGCATTCTCTTAGTTTTATTTGAACGTTGGAGTGTCTGAGAATCGATGCGAAATCTATGCGTCGCATGTTGGGCCTTGAGGAATTTGTTTTTGCCCCAGGTAACCGCATGATCACAACCTTTTAGCGAGGAAGCTCCTGCGATGTTTACGTTTTCTACTAATCAACCAGGGAACCTGGGTTCAATACCCACCCCTGCCCGCTTCGACCTGGATGAGCATCGTACCGGCCTGCGGTTGTGTATCACTACTGCGTGGTGCACTTTAAAGACCTATAGACCCCAGGCTAGCGGTTATAATGCATTGGCTAAATTGCTCATCTAGAGCGAGTGACTCGTCGCAACTTTGAAATGGCTGACCAACTACACGCTGTATAAATATTCACACAACTCCCAAGTATACTAATCAACGATTGTACGATATGCGCAGCGCAAGTTTGTCTGCTTCTTCCAGTAGGGGTTGTGGTGACGTCAGAACGCCGAGCTCTGATTGGTTCTGAATAAAGAATAGTGGGCAGGCCTCAAGGCAGCTTGCTTTTAGGTCTACCCACTATCCTTCAATCGGAGCCACTCAGATCTCGGCGTTCTGACGTCACCACAACCCTTGCAAAAAGAAGCAGACGAACTTGTGCTCCACATAGCTTTTAGGATAAAATTTTCGCATTTTTCTAGCTTTCTTTGTAAGTCTGAATTTCTGAGAATCATAACGAAAGGTATACGGCGCGTGTAGGGCTTAAGGGAAATTGTTTCAGCCCTGGGACTCCGAATAATCACAGCATTTTTTTAGCAAGGAAGCTCCTGCGATCTTTAACCTTTTTTACCAATCGCCAATTTTACGAATTGGCAGTTCTGAAGATTTTGATATAACTTGCTTTCGTTGCAATAGCTTGCATTTGATCGCAGTGTTTTTTGGTTTGTTCTTCAAGTGAAAAACTGGCGTTTGCTCAAATGACGTATAAGAAATGTCCTGCTATTAGCAATGCATCAACACATACTATCAGAGGTGTGTTCGTCTTTTTAATTAACAAGTTATAGACGTATTTATTTCTTACGAGTGTAATATTTATTTTCTGTAGCTGGGCCCGTTTTGTGCCCCCTAATGTCAGTGTGCTATGACGTTATCATCATGTGTGTATGGTTCTAAATATCCTCTTTACAATGCCTACAAAGGCCAAAATGACGTCAGCCGACCCCAACTCACGCATTGGACACGAAAACTGCGTCGCTCGGATGTATGCGCTCGTCAGCAATCAATTTGTCCATGGATATTTTAATTCGAGTTCCTGGCCAATGAGTGTCCTGACAAAACTTATCATCACTTGCGAATGCCAAGTTCTACGGTGTGCTTAAAAAGCACGTTGAAAGTTTGGGGTCATCGCACCAGTGTCCTTGCATGTCACGACTGCGTGATTTCACAGTTCTGTTTTGAGTTGAGGATTACAGGTAAGGAAGAAGAAGTTCAAAAATAATTTCGTGGCCCCTTTAACACGGATATGTGTGCTACACCACATAAAAATGTTGACTTTTTGAATGCCGGTAAACTTTCGAACGACTATTTGGCCTGTCGGCAAGAACACCTCATATCTGGCGTCCGTCTCTTTTGATGGCGTCAACAGTTCTCTAGAGCCCACCATGCCGCCCTTCTTGGCTGAACCCCGTCGACGTCGCTCCTCACCAGTCGGTGAGAAAATCTCATCTTGAAGGGATGATCGGGTCTTGAAGAAGTATGATGCTAAACATATACTCGCTCACTATGGGGCAGTCGAGCAGCAGTCATGTCCCGGGTCAATCGTCCTGTCGTGGCCGGCGTAATCGGATTTTGTTCCATCGGAGCGAAGTCCGAAAATACAAGGACGGTACGTACGTTCGTCCCACGAAGCGGCCGCCGTCCCGGCGGCGCCGAAAACCACTCGCCTTGTCCGTGCACGTACGATACCATAGCAGCTCTTGTCGCCCAACAGTCCCCGGGCTGCAAATCGTCTCACTTTTCAGAAAAAAACAGGCACCGTTCCTCCAGAGGCTCCATGCCATACCGCGATGCCAAGCGTCCACTTTTCAATGAACGAATGGAGATATCAACTAGACTACAAAGGTTGCCGCCCGGCGTCGCTAGAAGCACGGTTACCATGGCAACCTCCCAGGCCCAAAATGGAGATCACTATCAGCGCATCTGACGTCGTGTATCTAGATAATTTTGCGTCGTGTCGCTACTCTGGCAGCTACGCTGCCATATAGAGTGGCTCTAGGGTACTGGCACGGCTAAACTTTGATTCTTAGGAAATTATAGAAGAGTAGCAGAAAGTTATCGCATAGTATTTTACGAGTGTCTAAAGAGAAATGCTAAAATCAACATCAAGTAAGAAAAAAAAAACGATAGACAGAAGCCAGCTGTGTCTTGGTATTCATTCTTTCATTAATACACGCATTTATTAAAATTGTTAAAGTTTAATAACTATCCAACGTTTCTTCCTTAAAAATAAATATAAAGAAACAGCTTCACCCAACTTAGCAGCGCTCTAGTGTGAGCGAACAGACGTTGGACCCAAAGACCTACTCGCGAAAAAGTTCGGGTACTCACCCGTGTTCCCCGAAGTGGGCTCGATGATCACGGAACCCGGACGCAAGATGCCGTCCCGTTCGGCCTCCTGCACCATCCGGAGTCCTATTCGGTCCTTGATGCTGCCCCCGGGGTTGAAGAACTCGCACTTGGCCACTGGAAAATAAGCGTGGAAAAATGGGCGGCTACTGAAAAGCAACCGCTTGTCGTGACAGTCGCGCCATAAAAACAAACAAACAAAAGAAACAAGTCTTTTATGGCATGTTGCCACTACCACAGTGTCTACAGAATGACTTGATTTAACAGGAGAGTCGTGTTCTGAAGATCTGCTTGGACTGCAGAATTACTATTTTTTTTTCTTTTCTCCTTGTACAGGATCACGAGCGAGCTGAAGTAAAATGCGACACCCGGGATGGCAAGTTTCGCCGCTCCAGAAGAAGTTTGGTCAGAATACGCTGTTAGCATTTGATATTGTCTTCCCTGTTGCATGGTATTGACAAAATGCGATTAGCAGTAACTCTATTCTCCTGTACCTGTGAGCGCATTGAACCTACCAATGGCCGCCTAGAACATTACGGTGAAATATCGGGCTACGTGTAAAATTAATATCAAAGGCGTCCGAAAACCCTGTAAATTTTTTGTGACACCCTGTATATATATTGTAGCGGTGCTGTAGAGGCGCGTGCTAGAACCCACCGAGGACAAAGGCGAAACGCGTGCAGACGGCGCGTGACACACTTCTAATTTGGTCTGATTTGGCTGTGGACGTCCTCTTGTAAATTAAAAACGTAATATATATATATATATATATATATATATATATATATATATATATATATATATATATACGGTAAGAAGGTTCAACGGGCCGGTTGGACGTAAAACGAAAGTGGAGGAGATCCAGGAAAGGCCTTTCTTTACTGCACCGACGTTTCAAGCGGGGACCGCTTTTCTCCAGGGTGAATGGTTGTGAAATGTCCTCTTCTTCTTGTTGATGTTCGTGTGGAAGAGGAAGAGTTACTATGAAGGGTATTAAAAATATTCAGAACAGGAGCAAAAAAATTATCGTAAATCTTTGAAATTAGTAATTATAAACAATGTTAATCCAATTCAATGAAACGAAATAAATTGATTTGTAGTATTTGGCACAGTCTTTGTTACAGCTCCTGAGCACAATCACCCCCGAGCAACCGGAGCGCACACAAAAGTAGCAAAAGTAGTAATACTGGGGTCTCCACCCCAGTATTACGTTTTCGCACAGTTATTCTAAAACGAGCATTGATTTTCTTGACGTAACTGTCGAGATCAGCGGGAATTCTTTTACAACAAAACTCTTCAGGAAGTCGACGGACCGTCAACAGTACCTGCACTTCAAGAGCTCCCACCCTAAACATTGCAAAACAAGTATTCCCTATTCTCAAGCTCACAGATTCCGGAGAATATGCTCCAGTTTAGATGAATTCGAACGCAACGCCAGCAATCTGAAACTCGTGCTATCCAAGCAGAATTATCCACCAGCCATTGTCGATAAAGCCATTGAAAAAGCACGTGCTCTCGACCGAGAGCAAGTTATCAATCAACCCCAACCCAAAATGTCACAAAACGAGCACGCCAACCTGGTGGTTACATATTCAGCCCGCCTTCCAAATTTAAACAATATTCTCAGGAAACAACACAGTATTTTGCAGCAAAGCGATAAATTACGCACCCTTTTTCCGGTATCACCACGCGTGGTATATCGACGAGGTAGAAACCTTAAGGACATATTGGTGCACTCGAAAAATAGAACTTCTGACGTTTCTGGTTGTAGACCTTGCCAGACGCCCAGGTGTGAAATTTGTGAATATGTCGAAACCACCAATCTTGTCACTAGCGCGAACTCTGGCTTTTCTTTCAAAATCACTGGTAACCTCAACTGCGGTACGCGTAACGTTATTTATCTTTTACGCTGTAAACTATGTAACATGGATTATATAGGACAAACCACTACTTCATTTCGGTTGCGCTTCAACAATCACAAGTCTCATATCAAGTCCTTACCCACGCTCCCCTTCTCAAAACACATGCATCTTAAAGAGCATAGCATTGAAAAAATACGTGTCATCCTTCTGGAATCTGGATTTAGCTCTGATCACGACAGAGAGTTGAAGGAGGCTTTTTTCATTCACAAATTCAATTCGGTTGCTTGTGGTATTAATGCAAGTCCAGGCGTGCTCACTTGGCTGCCACGCTGTGTGTAGGGCCGAGGCCACACAATTATTTTGGTTTTGCACGGACTGTACTAGCCGAGCGTGTCGATGACAATAGAGAGTTTTAGTAGATCGTTCCCATGGCTCCGATAACGATACCCGATACTCCGCCACCGCCTTCCTTGCGCATGCATAGTATCGTTATCGGGGCTATCGGAGGTATCGGAACGATCTACTAAAACTCTCTATTGTTGCACCAAAGGCGCCTGCCATCGTGAGCTCGTTCCACGCCTCTCGTGAACATCCTCGTGAGCGCGCGTCCCGTGGTAATCCTTCCGCTGCGTTAAATTCTTGGGCGCGTAAGCATCATTCAAATATGACATAAATACTTCATAAAAAACCGCCACGGCACCCTTGCGTGGTCTAGATCTCCGCTCCCGAAGCGGTGCTAATCCCGAACACATCCTCATTGCTACTTTTGTGTGCGCTCCGGTTGCTCGGGGGTGATTGTGCTCAGGAGCTGTAACAAAGACTGTGCCAAATACTACAAATCAATTTATTTCGTTTCATTGAATTGGATTAACATTGTTTATAATTACTAATTTCAAAGATTTACGATAATTTTTTTGCTCCTGTTCTGAATATTTTTAATACCCTTCATAGTAACTCTTCCTCTTCCACACGAACATCAACAAGAAGAAGAGGACATTTCACAACCATTCACCCTGAAGAAAAGCGGTCCCCGCTTGAAACGTCGGTGCAGTAAAGAAAGGCCTTTATTGGATCTCCTCCACTTTCGTTATATATATATATATATATATATATATATATATATATATATATATATATATATATATATATATATATATATATATATATATGTCAGTGTGTCGAACCGAAAAAAATACGGGTTCGGTTACGGTTCAGGTTTAGGTAAATTTATTTTGTTCCGGTTCAGTTCCGGTTCGATTAATTCGATCCGCGAACCGGTTCGGAAATTATAAATGCCAAATTGCAACATCAAAATAAATTACAAATAAAACATCTGAAATCAGCACATACGAAACGGAATGCATCGTAGTGTAAGGCTCAGGGATTTCTACCAGGAATGGTTTCTTTATGTGCACTCAAAGGTTACCTCACCGACGTTTACGCATTCGGACTTCATCTAATTGGGTCCGACGCAGTAGCTGTAAAATCCGCGACCTCCTTACAAACCCACTTACAAGTAGAACTCGCTAACTATCCCGCCACCTCGGCGTGTAAGCAATTGAAGGAACAGTGGGGAGAAAATACAGCTTTCTTTATTTGAACTAGCCTTCGGTAACTCAAATTAGACCCTTAAAGAAGTTTTCATTAAACAAGATACGGAATATGAAAAACACTTCACCGAACGCAACGCCAGAAGGACGTAATAGGATAAATATTAAAATAGAAGAGTTCGCTGTCTCACAAATATGTTAGCTTCTAAGTGCCTATACGAAACCGGATGCATTATTATCAAACTCCACAGCCTTTTCTTTTCTCATTCCGATGGAAGCAAGCTTCAAGAACTCGCGCGTTCTAGAAACGTGTTATGAAATGAGCACACAGCAGCATTTAGGATTTACGAGATTGTAAAAAAATTAAATCCCGTGACGCGATTTTTTTTTTTTTTTTTTTTGCACAGCCTTCCAATTCTTTTTCTTCCGTGCAAGCCGCGACCAGCGCAATACTGGTTCCTATGTCAAGATTCATGAATGCAGCGTTTGTCAAGATTCATGGATGCAGCGTTTATATTCCTAAGACTGAGTGGAGAAGAAAAATATGTAATCGAGGTGTGTGTCAGTTGACGGCACTTAAAAAACAAATGGCATTGATCGCACATTCATTGTCAACAGCGCGTGGCCGAACCGTTTTGACATGAGCCGGTAACCGTTATTTTTTTTTTCCGGTTCAGTTCCGGTTCGGGTTCATCGCGATAACAATATAACGGTTCGGGTTCGGGTTCAGTTCCGTAAAAAATACCGGTTCGGTTCCGGTTTTCGGTTCGGTTCCGGTTCGACACCCTGATATATATAGATAACCTTTTTTTTTTTTTTTTTTCCTGCTTAGCTGCGATCCCATCACCCTGTGTGGCATATCCTCAGCTCCGTCGCGGCACAGTCACTGACAGCTTGGGAAAGGCAGGGTGTGGCGAGCATCTCGTTATCGCTCCCCAGCCAATGAGAAGGCGTCGTCAGCCGATAAGGACCCCGAGGAACCAAGCACGAGGTGTGAAGCGTGAACATAAGCCCATGCCCTGCGTTCTGAGGCTGTCGGTGGTGAGTCCATAGCTCCCAGTCTTGTACTTTCACATGCTGGGAGGTCGCATGGCAGAAATCCGTATAGAACTTACGAAGTTCGCACTCGACGCCGTACTCCTTGTTGATCTTATTGATGCGCACCATTGGCGTGTCTCCGACGTGAGCCAGAATGTCCGGAAAGATCTTTGCCTTTGGTCCCCTAGAAACAAACATGCACGTCTATCACCAACTCCAGTTAGATACGAAATATAGAAAAAACATATCGAGACCAATTATTGCACTTGAATTTTATCGACACACGTCGGTAGTAGGGTGGACTGCTGAGGGAGCTTGAGGTTTGTTACAGCGATATTACAGCGATGATACATCGATTTGCAGCAATTTGCAGCAATTTGCAAAAAATTGCAACAATTTACAGCAATTTACAGAGATAGCTGTTAGTAGGACACTTCGCGGTTTCGCGCCGTCGACAGCGCTCCATATCGACGCGGGCCATTTTCGGCACTCCACTACAACATTCCACGGACCGCGATAACAAGATAACAAGCAAGCAAGATAACATGCATGGTCAGTAAACAAACAGTCCCCGCCAGGCAATCTGGCAATGCACTGCGATAGGTGTCCAAGTGATCCAGAATTAGCAGAAACAATTACGCAGATGACACTGCCTTAGAAT